GAGGCTGTATGAGTTGGGAGCGAGAAGGGTGATGGTGACGGGAACTGGACCGTTGGGTTGTGTACCGGCTGAGCTTGCCTCATCAAGAAGCGCGAACGGAGAATGTGCACCCGAGGCGCAACAGGCTGCAGCGATCTTCAATCCGCTTTTGAATCAAATGCTTGAAGGACTTAACCGTGAGATTGGCTCTGATGTTTTCGTTGGGGCTAATGCTTTTGATATGAATGCAGATTTTATCAACAATCCCCAACAATTTGGTGAGTACTCCTCAACTAGTTTTCAATTTTGTAAATAACCTGCGAAATGGTAGAACATCATAATGATTATATGCGATTGTGCAACACTTACTAATCGCATAATTGTATGTAATTAAGATTTGTATTAAGAAATTGTGTGGCATTAATAATCATAATCTTTCTATATATATGTCATGAACTATTAATAATCACTTTCTTACCTAATTTAATATAATTTTTTCATAGGTTTCGTGACGTCTAAGGTAGCGTGTTGCGGGCAAGGAGCATACAACGGGCAAGGCGTTTGCACACCGTTGTCAAGCCTATGTCCTGATCGCAACGCCTATGCTTTTTGGGACCCATTCCATCCGACCGAGAAAGCAATCCGACTGATTGTCCAACAGATCATGACTGGTTCGGTTAAGTACATGAACCCCATGAACCTTAGCACTATCATGGCTTTAGACTCAAGAATTTAACAATTAAGGAAGCAGGTTTGTTTTCAGAATATATTAAGTGACATAATATGTCCTATTATATGCAAGTGTAATTTAAGTATATCTATTAAATTTTGACATTGTTTGTTATTTCCAAATTTTCATATATAATAAAAGATTATGAGAATGCGACCATGCAATTTTGCCAAACAATGATAAAGATTGTTTTTCGTAATCGGATCTCTTCGTTAAACCATCCAAGACTTGTCCTTCAAGTGAAAAGGCAAAGCCTCTGTCTGCCTCAGCAAGTCTTCATCAACAAGAAGATGGGCTTGTCAATAACATAGAAAGACATTGAGATCGAGAGCAAAACCATAGCTTACGAAAAAACTCAACCATCAACTTATATTTACTATTTAAATGCCCCACTTAACATTGTATCGTACCGTCCACTTAACATTTGACTGTTTGGCCCGTTCGGCTCGCTCCAAATTTGTAATTTTTTTTTTTTGTAAACAACTTTCCACCAAATTGGATTAACAATCACTGACATATTTTAATTAAAGTTTTGATTGACAAAAAAAAAACATTGGTACCGTACACCTGGAGTCGGTTAATTTCAAATCCAAAAACGCTTAGTATTTGGATACCAAACCTTCCGTCTTGATCATCTTTAAAGTTTGCAGCTTGTATTATTGTGCCCCATTCATTGGCACTAGGAGCACCGGTTGACACCAATTCTTACCGTTTTAGTTTTCGGATATACATTAATTAATGGTTAAGCGTCTACTCAAACAAAATATTAATTAACAAAATTCATATTTACTTAGCGGATCACTGCAACACATTGACGCCTATTCAAAACATCATCTTGTATAATACTTGTGTATTTCTATACTCTCTTATATACACGTAGCTATATATACAGAAATGATATTATTTTGCTAATAGTGCTTATCCTCTCTGCTCTGAAGCTATTCATTCTCAAAATCACAAAAAAAAAAAAAAACGAAGAGAATCAGACAAACCGGAGAAACTAGAAACTTAGAGATGAAACCCATCACTAGAAGCCAAAACTCAAACATCGAAAACATTTTTACAGGTTTTTTTTCTATACGAGATAAACAAACGTG